CCGGCTATTTTTTGGTTGCAGCCGTCATTGTTGTTTGGCGGGTCCGGGCTGGGGATTCGAACCTGCCACCTTAGGTGTACATGGCTGGCGCCTTAGCCTGTTGAGCTAGAGGCGCCGAGCCTGGTTACTTTTTAAAAAAGAAAGATAGAGGGTGGCGCCTATGGCTCAAAGGAGTGGGGCACCAACCCCATATACTGGAGGTGGTGGGTTCAAACCCGGCCCTGGCCAAAAACTGCAAAAAAAATAAATAAATAAATAAATAAAAAAGAAAAATGCATATTTTCAGCAAAGAAGTATTATTTTAGCATTTTGATCCTTACCAAAACATTTTATGGAAATTCATAAAAAAGGTTAGCATTTAATTTATTTATAATGATATTTATAATAAGAGGGAAAAACATATTTTTCTCTCCTAGAGGAAAGTTAGATTGATCTTGCCCTGTAGACAGCAGCTGAAATATATTCCCAAGTTCCATCTGTCCATCTGCAGGAGGGTTGGGGGGTCAGCGTTAGAGGTTGGGGGTCAGGGTTGGGGTTAGGGTCAGGAGGGAGTGACCTGACCTGGGTTAGCAGCCAGATGGTCTTCCCCTGCTCGTGATGCTGCTCCCTTGAGCTCGTGACGCTCTTCCCACGGCTCCCTTGAGCTGGGGCCACTGGACTTGGCAGCCACATTTGGGGGAAAGCCGGCCCCAGAATGAATCTGTGTTTGGCGAGGGGCTGATGCGGGCTGTGTTTCTGGGCCGCAGCTTTGAAGGGGCCCCCGAAGGCACCGACGCCGAGCGAGAGGAAAGCTTCTGGTCCCAAGCGCTGGAGGACCTGGAGACCTGTGGCCAGTCGGGCATCCTGCGAGAGCTGGAGGTAGCCTCGGTCTGCTCCTTGCTGTCTTCATTCCTACACTCATTTTTTTGGTCCTTTTAAGTTTGCATTTGTCACACCAGTTCATTTAAAAGCTTTAACCCTTTCCACAGGAGAGAGCCGACAGGCGCGTGTCTTTGAGAAGCGTGGGCCTCTTGGTAGCTACCCTTCACGTTGTACTCTTGCTTGTGAGCTGCCTTCCCGCCCCGCCTTCTGGACAGCAATTTGATTTTAGACAATGCAGCTGGAACTATTTACCTCCATTCCCACCCCCAAGCTTACTGACTTGTGGCTTACCGTTGCTCCCGCTAACCCTGACTGCCCTGTCCCCACCACGCCGCTGGGAAGCGGGCGCGGTCCAGCTGTAGCATCCCACTCTGAGCTGCTTCAGAAAGGTTGATTTGGCATGTTCTCATTCGTACCTGGTACAGAAGTTAATTTGATTGTTAAGAGGAACATAAGAGGAAATTGTACTTTATTTTGTTCTGCCCTCTAAGTAGGTGGCAATTCGGCTGGTGAGCAAGGCCAGTCTCTTTGATAAGCAGCCAAAATACTGCAGAGACTCTGCCTTTGATGGCAGTTCCTGATTCCGTACTAACTTAGTGTGAAACCGGGGAAAGAGCAAGATGGAGCAGGATAGCGGAACTCCTGTTGAGTTCTTTGATCAAAGCCGTGAATTTGCTGACGGTATTCACACTTTAGTCTGGGAAGTCCTGGACTGTTTCCTTTTATGTTCTTTTAAATCTTCTGAGCTGTAAAAAATAAAGTGGCAAAAGTCTCATTTTTATTTTAATGTCATACGAGGTCCCCAAGTCACCATAAGGAATGTGAATGGCATAATGGGGCGAAACTCTTGCAATCCTTAGATGATCACTCATCTTTATATTATTTTGCTTCTCAATTGCATGTGTGGATTCTTTATGTGATTCTAATGTTTGTGAATCTGCAAAGAGAATTATAAAGAAAAATATTAGTGTGAATTTGTAAACATCATCGTATCACCTGGCATGAATTTCAGCTTCAGAGCACAGTTAAAGGACCTGGACATGGATAATCCTATAAATTTTAAATTCATTAAGATGTTAGCAATTGATTCCTTTTTATACAACTTTCAAAAAGAGTGGAATGCTTACGTATCACCTGGCTTATTTAAACTCTTACCACCTCCTGTATCAGTGATGAGTCCAAGTGGCCTGAAGTGCAAGGTACCAGCACAGCTCAGTTACTAAACACACCTGGCTTCTGAAAGCGCATTCTGGCTCATATGCCTTTTTCATTTTGATACTTCTCTTTTGAAGGAAAAGCTATCTTTTAATAGCTTCTTTTACATTAAGTAAAAAGAAGATGATGTGCACTCAAATGTAGTGCTTTTCAGTAAGGTTGTATTTTGATCCAGAAATTTAGTTATCTCATGAAAATAACACCCACCAGCAGAGAAGTTATGTCTCTGACATATATTTGCTCTGACAGAGCTCGAGGTAGTCAGGTGTCGCCCCTGAAATGCAGAAAGGAAACAGGCTGAATTTATAAGCCAAAGAGAAATTAAAATCCCCAACTAGGAAGAATGATTAGCAAATTCATAATTATACTTTTATCACAAAGAATATTAACTGATTTGTTTAGATGAACTCCATACCCTTGACTGGAATTGCTATTATGCAAAAAATATTGCTGGACCTAGATTCCCACCTGTGAAGTTTACATCCAGAATTAAAAGTTAAATCCCAGTGTAACACTAATAAAGGTAGAAGCTTAGCTAAAGTGAAAAATTATTACAGTTGAAATGAAAATGAAAATTAATTAATTTACGCATCATTTTCCCTATTGCTAGCAATAACTTAGGTTCAGCTTTAGCAATGAAAAATGGATAGCTTTAACAAAAGAGAAAAATCCGAACAAGTTTTTGGACAAGTTTTTAACCTTTCTCACTAAATATTTCTACAAAACCTGGGAATCATAGTGAGCTAAAGCTTAAGTGGCACTTAACAAATGTTCATAGAGTAATAACCTATTCAGTAAAAATTAACTGTTAGTATTCGTGCCATTTCTTGATAAATGATCAGTGCATTAACTTTTTTAAACACTATAAGATCTGAATAAATGTCAGATAGAAAACTCTAAGTTGCCTCAGAAGGAACTTATAATTATGAATTGCGGCAACTGAAAACAGGCAATATATACTCTTGAAGCCAAAACAAACCCTAAGCAATTTAAAATAATTATTTCTTAGTTTTTTTATTTCAGTTTTTACACTTGTGTTTTAGTTTTTATTCCTGCTCAGATGCTACTTGCAGCTCACTTTCAATGGAGCTGTCAAGCCATGTTTGAAAACTTGAACTCAAGAACTATTGGTAATGTCACATTCTTCCCCAAGAACTCCTTCTAAACCATCTGTAATTTCTTCTCTGACAACTGAGACAGACTCGTCATGGCAAAACTTCTGTCTCCGGGGTGCAGTGATTAGGCGTTTTACTTCCAATGTATTTACTTTCCTGCTATTCCATGGAAAATGAATATAAAAAAATAAATATTTTATAAAATAGAAAATAATTGTAACAAACAAAGCAAATAACTAGTCCAAATAGAAGAAAATAGTAGCTGGATTGTCCCCACTGCCAGAAGACAGTCGGTCCCAGCAAGTTAGACAGAACAACACACGTGGGCAGGAAACTAAGACAGAGGGGACCACGGTACCAATGATGCTAGTATGAAAGTTTCCAATAAACTTAAGAAAGGTAATTATCTGAAACAAGCCGTGGTATGGATAACTCATAATTGGTTAAATATTAGATTTTCTTTACCTAATAAAAGGAAGTTTTATTTTATGGGGTTCAGCCTCATACCTTGACTGGGAAGCAATGCAGCCCAGTGGCCAGGAGCCAGGGTTCTGGTTGGACCGTCCTCTCCAGTCCCAGACTCACGGGCAGCCACTCACCTCACCCAGGCACCCCCTTTCTTAGCTGAGTGGAAGGTAGAATGATTTTAGTATCTACCATGTAGCGTTGCTTCAGTGTTAAATCAGGTTCTACCCACAACACTCACATAAGTATATAAGATTTAGCAGTTTTACAGTTATAGTTTTCTTTTTCACAGTTATCAATGAGATAACTGATCTAGTCGAGATATTGTAAGTTTCCTTGTTTTGTTCCTTTTCGGCAGGGTTATTAGGTGTGCATGTTATTAGAGTCACTCAGAGATCTTGCCAGTGGTGTGTATATAGCTGAACACCAGGTGAGTCTTAGAATTCTGGAATCTTAGACAAAAAAGAAAATGATCCTCACTTGGCAGGGCTCCCTCCCCATCTGTATTTCAGGAAAGTAAGTACCCTCGACTCACACACCACCTCGGGGACTTACTGTGAGGCTTAACTGGGGGAACGTGTTGAGAGCTCTCAGCAGGTTAAGCAGAGTGTCTGTCCTGGCATTGGCACCACACACAGCCACGTCTCACTGCAGCCACTCACGTGGCACGTGGGTGCCTGTTCCCGTGGTTTCAGGCAGATTCCCCAGTGCTGATTTACCCTCATGCACCGTCACATCTTGGAGTGCAGAGCTGGCCATGGGCCCATTTTCGGAACACAGCATCTTGTAACATTGAGAACCAGCAGCCCCGATGTGATGCCGGTTTCAAGCCCTTTTGTGCTCAGTTCCAAGAGTCGTCATTAGGAGCTGATCTTGCCATAGCTTGTGAGTTACACAGGGAACACGTCTGAAGCTGAACAGACCAACAGTTCACTGGCGAAATCCCACCCCAATCTCAGAGCTTTTGAGTAAAGGGTTGAACTCAATAGCATAAATCATTGTCTTCATCCCTTTGGAGACCTTACACAAAGGCCCTTTCTAGGGAACGCTAATCTGTACTAAGTGAGATGGGGCCTCACTGGTCCACAGGCCTCAAGGACAGGCCCCTAGGCCAGAGGAAAGACAGCACACAGTGCTGGCGGGGATCCTGCAGAGGCCCCTGCCTTTGTGTCTGGCGATGGCTGGCTCCTTGGGAGCCAGGCTGAGAAGTGCGCCACTCACTTGCATGAGATGAGTTGCAGGCAGCCTGTGAACCCCATCTGTTAGGGCCACTAACTGGAAAGTTAGTGCTTAAAATGAGATTTGCAGTAAGCAGCTGTCACAGCCTTTCAATTTGCCTCCCAACTGCCAGGGGTGGTATGTGATTAAATAAACTGAGTGGCGTAGGTACTGAAATTGGATTTGAGCTACGCATTGTAAACTGCAAAGCATTCCACAAACGTGCTGGTCCAGCCTGCAGTCCATTCTCTAGCCTTTGGCTCTGCCCTGAAGAGGCAAATCTCGACTGGGCAGGAGGAGGAATGTCCTTAGTGCTGGGCAGCTCACCCTCTCCTTGGCCATAGCTTAACTGTTTCTGAAAATTGTCGATGCCACAGGCAACAATCATGTCGGGGAGCACACTGAGCTTGAATCGCGAGGCTCCAACAGCCCGCAGCCAGCTGGGGCGGCAGGCCAGCTTCCAGGAACGGGGCAGTGCACGGCCACACTACAGCCAGACCACTCGGAGCAACACCCTGCCCTCCGACGTGGGCAGGAAGTCTGTGCCCCTGCGGAAAGTGAAACAAGACATGAAGGAGGTCGTGTCCCAGACCCCCGTGGAGCTGCACAAGGTAGGGACACTCTGTCCTCTCTTCCTCCCGCACCAGGCACAGGCCCCAGGCCAGCATGGAGGTGACGGCCTCCTCTGGGCCAGCCAAGCAGAGAAGCTGAAGGTGGGTCCTCACACCTTGTTCTCAAAACATGATCCCGAAGGTCATCCTGGGGAGCAGGAAACAGGTTTTCAGGCAACATATTTATGGAAAATATATCAATAGCCAAACTCTTCTGAGGGAAGGTGTGGCTGCCTCGTCACACAGAGCTATGATGAACCTGGCATGCAGTGAGATTCTTGTCACTCTGGGCTGGCAGTTTCTCTGAATGTCATCTGCTCCCTCAAGCTTTGCTGAGAGTCTCATCCTCAGTCACAGACCTGGAGGGATGTTGTGCTGCTCAGGGGACACGAGGTTGTCTTCAAAATGCAATTGCATGTCTCAGGCCAAGACAGCCTGGGACCTGGTTTGTTCCCATGAGACATGACCATTGCCTCACTGTGCCTGGGTTAAGAGGACGCACTGAGTTCACAGCCGCTGGCCAACTGTGACAGGCATATGTCGGTGGCCGTGTTTGGAGAGCCCAGGGCCAAGGAGAGGCATGGGACAAGGTGTTTCTCATTTCCTTTGCCACGCTAATGCCTTGTTTTTTGTCAATACATGGGGTGCATAAAATAACAAACACTCTTCCTGAGAACTGAGATCGCTGCAGTTCACGTGTTGACTAGAGATTAGTTATTTGTCTTATCCAGATGAGTGAATAAATGTAAGGGTCAAGGCAGGGTGTCAGGCTGGCTACTCTCTTTTTCCTCTACAGACCTCACTTTCGTTCAGCACCCTCTGAAAGCTGGGTGCTTACCCTGCAGCTGGCAGACGGTCTGGTGGGCGTGGACAGCGCAGGAGGCGGCGCTGAGCTCGGTGTTCAGTCCCGGGCCGCTCACAGCCGCTCACTCTGCTCACTGTGCACCTGCTGTGTGTCGCCCCTCAAAGGGTGTTTGGGGAGCTGAGTGCAGCAAGGAGCTGTGGGAAGGGACATGATAGGAACAGACATGGGCAGCCGTGGGGACAGAGGGTGGCCCTCATCCACTGTGGGAGGATGGAAAAGGCTTCCAGGAAGTGCTTGTGGCCTGTGCAGAGCAAGGCGTCCACTGGGGCATCTCAGGAGCAGAAGTACCTGCAAAGGGGCGGCAGCCGCAGTGCACGGGGAAGGCAAGGAGCACCAGGAGAACAGGAGGCCTGCGGTCCGGAGCGTTCCCGACACAGACCAGCAAGGACCCCACCACCGTCCAGGGTGACAGCAAAGGCTGCCGGCCCAGCTAGCTTGTTCAGTTGCCTGGAGTTGATGTGTCTGCTCAGTAAGTCACACCTGCACACGTGCTCACACACACACACTGACGCGCATGCAGACACTGACACACTAACACACCAACAAACACCAACACACACACTGACACAGTGACACGCTGACACACACACACTGACATTGACACACACTGATACTGACACAGACACACTGACACACACTGACATTGACACACTGATACTGACATAGACACACACGCTGACACACACTGACATTGACACATACTGACACTGGCACACACACTGACACAGACACACACACACTGACACTGACATTGACTGACACACAATGACATTGACACACACTGATACTGTCACAGACACTGACACACTGACACACACTGACATTGGCACACACACTGACATTGACACACAGAGACACTGACACACAGAGACACACACTGATACACTGACACTGACACACATTGACACACTGACACACACTGATATTCAGTGACAAACACACTGACACACACTGACACACACTGACACTGACACACAGACACACTCCCACCTGTGAGGATCAGGTCAATGTAAGGAGGGGGTCAGTGCAGAGGGTCAGCGTGGGGAGAGGGGTCAGTGCAGGGAGGGGTCAGTGTGGAGGGCGGAGTGTTGGGGGTCAGTGGGGGGGGAGTGTTGGTACAGGGGGAGGCCATTGTGGGGAGGGGTCAGCTATGGCCCTGACTGTGCCCCCAGTCCTGCACACTCCACAGCTATGTATGTGGGGGAATCTAAACATTTACTGCACTGCATTCGCCAATATTTCTTTTGTTTTTTTGTTTCTTTTCAAATGTAAATTGCATTAAGCTGATTTCAAGATTTACTAATAATAGGATGGACTTGGTGGCTCCCAACTATAATCCCAGCACTCAGGGAGCCTGCTCACCTGGGCTCAGGAGTTCAAGACCAGCCTCAGCAAGAATGAGGCCTCATCTCTACTAAAAATAGAAAAACTAGCTGGCATTGTGGCAGACACCTGTAGTCAGGAGGCTGAGACAGGAGGATCACCTGAGCCCAAGAGTTTGAGGTTGCTGTGAGATGTGACGCCATAGCACTCTACCAAAAAAAAAAAAAAAAAACTTACTAGTAAGTCTCAGCCAATAATTTGAGGACCCCGGCCTTAGACAGCTGTTTGGGACCCTACAACCGTTACCATGGGTGCTTGTTAAAGCCCCACCCAGGGACACCTCGGCAGCATTTGGGGGCTACAGGCCTCCAGTCCACCTCCAGCAACCTTTCCAGTGCACTGGTTCCTGCTGAAGGCAGAGAAAGCCTCGCTCCCTTAGGTTTGCAAACTGGAGGTGATGTGTCAGAGGCATCAGGCTGTTGCTGGGTGGCGGGGTGCAGAGGAAGCAGCTGCCTGTTACCTTTTGAATGAATTCTGGTTGGTTGCACAGCTCATCACACGCAGCTCTTCACAGATTCTCTCCTTTTGCAGATGAGGAGCCCATGATCTTTGCCACAGTTCATTGATAACCCTCCCTTTCCTTTTTAAATATCCTTGGTGTCCACTTAACCTGAGATTGATTCTAGCTTCACTTGCACGTCTTAAGGCAAAAAAAGAAAAAAAAAATTGTGGAGTGGAAATTTCCCCCCATTCAGAGCCTTTGGACTTTTTGAAGATTCATATTCAGGTTTCCTTTTGCCCTGGCATTCGTGTTTCTTAACACAATGACACTTTTCCATCGTATGTAGCTATTTGCATCCATCCTTTGCAGAAAGGTTTTAAAGTAGCTTCCCAGCACCTGCTGCCCTCCCAGCCGCTGGCGGCACAGAGCTGAGCGTTGTAGTCTCACAGCCGTGTTGCCACCACTGGCTCCCACCAAGTTCACTGCATTTCCAATGTGTCTGCATCTCTGCGAGGCAGCATTGCTCTTCTGGATGTGACAAAGCTGTGTGCTCCTTGGAAGGAGCGGCATTTCCAGTCTCTCACGCAGCTCCCTCTGCAACGTTCCCCCGACGTCAGGAGCGTCCAGCCCTGTCCCCTCACCAAGTATCAGGGGCACTCAGGGTCCAGGGGTCCTCAGGCTGGGGCGGAGCTGTCTGCTATGGAAACCGCTGAGACACAGACACTTAGCTCTTCCTCACCACTCTTTGCTGGACCCAGGTTCTGTTTCCTCGGTGAGGAGCGATGAGCCAGAGAGACCACAGGCGTCCGTGTGGGGCGGACTGGGAGAACTCATTGGCTACATCTCCCCCGGGAGCCCCACTTGTCCCACTTGTCAGCAGAGGGGACTTTAAGAGCAGAGTTTTTCCTGGTGAAGTCCCTATCACTCACCTTCCAGCATCCGAAACTTAGAAAATGGGGCTACTCAGCACCCCAGACTTGACCACCCAACAGCTGCCCTGATGCCACCAAAGACGGCTACACAACGGGATGAGAGTCAGTTTCAGATGAGGGAGCGGATGTGGGTCTGGGGTGGTGCACATCTCCTCTGACAGGCTCCTGCTCTGCTGTGGCTCTGGGTGTAGCTGACAGGGCATTCTAGGGGCCGGGGGATAGCAGGACGGGGCTGAGATGTGAGCCATATGTTTTAAACAGACAGCCTTCCACATGCATCATCCGTCAGCTACCCTTGTCTGTGATTCTACTAAAGTATGCATTTTAAGATATAAAAAAATTCATTTTTAAAGGCTTTATTTTATTTTTAATTGACACATAATAATTCTATATATTATAGAGTACAAAATGATTTTGATACATGGATGCCTTGTGGAATGTGTGCATGAGTAATTACCATGTTCATCACCTCAAATATTTATCATTTCTTTGGTAAGAACATTTAAAATTCTCTCTGATCTATGTTGAAAGATAAAACATATTAACTGTAGTTGCCTTGCTATGCAATAGGCTGCCAGCCTCACACCCTTGTCTAACTATGATGCTGTCCCTGTGAGCAGCCTCTCGGCTGCCCCAGACCCTCCCAACCTCTGGTGACAGCCACCTTTCTCCCGAGGTTGCCTGCTCAGGGTCCCATGTCTCCTCCCGAGGTCGCCTGCTCAGGGTCCCGTGTCTCCTCCCAAGGTCACCTGCTCAGGGTCCTGCAGGATTGAGCTCTCTGTGGTCAGCTTGCTTCATTAGCATAATGTCTTCCAGGTCCCTTCACCTCATGTTGTCACAAATGACAGAATTTCCTGGAAAAACACAATTTTTATGCAAATGATTGGCTCATGTCAGAATATATTTGTTTAACTCATTAACAAAGAATGACAGTGGGACGGCAAAACTTGCTTAAAGGAGGATAAAGAAAAGCATATATATACGTCTCTGAGTCAGTGGGGCAGAGGACAGGGGGAGGAAGACCTCCCGGTAACAGTCAGAGCTGCCCGGTGGTGTGCCGGGGACAGCTCAGTGTCCACAGCCCCACGTCTCTGCCAGACACAGCTCTGTTGCATCTTATGGCCCCATGAGTTCCATTCACAGTCAGGGCCTCAGCTCTGAGCCACAGCGGCGGTCAGAGCTGCTGGCCCTGGGTCCACGTGGCCCAGGGGCAGGCTAGTCAGTGCCCTGTGCCCCTTGCCTGGGCATGTGGTCACTCACCTGTCTCAGGCCCACCCAACTGTTTCTCTTCAGAAAACTGGGTGGCGGCTTGGCGCCTATAGCTCAACCGGCTAAGGCGCCAGCCACGTACACCTAAGGTGGCGGGTTCGAATCCCCA